TATAAATACTTCCACAACTGCAAGATTACTGTTATTTACAGCGAAATCAGATACTAGCGAATGCATGCCGGCAACCATAATAACGTTCACTTCGACCACATCCACGACGAGTGAATCCATGCCGGCACCCATAATAACGTTCACTGCGACGAAAAGGCGCTGCCAAACGATAGGGGGGCGACGTAAACTCTTAAAACCCTAAATTTTAAACTTTTAAAGCCCTAAACTCTGAAACCCTAAACCTAAACTCTAAAAGCCCTCAACCCTACAGAATCTAGGGGGTTCAGGGTTTACTGGAGCTCATTCGTTTCATAAATGTCAAGCCAAGCCCAAGGTAGCAGGAGTCTTACGGCGGTAAGAGCCAGGCCTGACCTGAAGATCTGGCAAAAAGCAAGGAATGGAATAAATTTGCTATAGTCTAAACTCCTAGTATCCCCCTTAATAGCCCCTATAAGATAGGGTTTAGGGTTTAGCTTTTTTTCAAAGGGCTTAGGATTTAGGGTCTAAACTCCTAGCATCCCCCTTCGTAACCTATCTGAGAACACTCTCCTAGATAGTTTTGTATAGAACGCACGTTAAGGAGCTTAGACACTAAACCCTAAATCCTAAACCCTAAACCTCATATAATCCCTATATAACCCATAATCTCCCCTACATACATTACCCCCATTTAAGGAATTTAGACTACAGCCCACGTAGGGCTGTTGCGCGAGGCTACGGATGGCAGCGCTTTCGTCCGAAAAATCCTGCCATTGAAGCTGGCGACGCACCCAGGGTTTAGGGTTTAGGGTTTATTAAAAGCTTGGCCTTCAGGGGCATTTACCGTTCTTTCCATGGCATAGGATCCATTGTAGGATTCTAGCATTGCAAGCTGCGGGCAATTTGGCTGCCCTTTTTCTGCAAGACAAGTGGCTTCGCAAGGAGTGTCTCAAGTAATATTATTACTACTATTACTACTGTTATTACTACTATTATTACTACTATTATTACTGTGTTCATTTTTAGCACCATTATTAAGTTTGAAGTTGCACCTTTTAGTTCTGAAGCACAGCCTGCCTGTTTCCTTTGGGACCTTTTGGGGTAGCCATAGAATCCTCTTCCAGTGGGAACTTGGCGAAAATGTCTGCCATATAAGTGTTTGACCCCCCACCCAGTAATAGTGACTATAAGGGATAATAGGGATTTTTATTAGGGTCCTCTTATAGTCTTATTATACCACGATTACAGGGTGGGGGGTCCTCCTAAGCCATATCACCGAAGACGAAGATGAAGTCAGCAAATACACAAACAAGTTCTACAATGCTGTAGTCAACCAATCACTGTAGAAAGGCCCGAACGACGTCAGAAAAAGGACTCACAGAACAAGCCCTCTTAACCTGGCGGCTTTCCCTGAGCAGGGGAATGCAGTACCCCAAAACCTAACATCCTACAGCCTACTAATAGCAATGTCAGACCTCCAATACCCAGGCAGAAGTGCTGAACAACCTCCAGCGTCAGCACCTGCATTACTTGCGCGAAGCCATGGTGGCGGCCCCAGAAATCAGGCAGCTTCAATCTCTAATTCTCAGGGATGGTAGGGTGGGGAATAAAACCCTAAACCCTAAAGGAAATGCCAATGAGAAGAAGAATCTGGCCGTCTAAGGTGATCACGGTCCGCACGCCACCGCATCTCGTCTTCGTCCTTGCCGAGGATAACGTGAGGGTTTCCCAAAACTAGGGCCTTATAGGGATTATAGGGTATTTATTGGGGGTATATTGGGATAACGGAAAATAAAATGGAAACTACTATTTAGGGTTTAGGGTTTAGGGTTGAGGGTTTCCCAAAACTAGGGGTACCTTTTTTGGGGTTCCCCATAAGGAGGATTATAGTATTTGGGTCTATGTTGGGGTCCCCCTATTTCAGGAAAGTACCATGTATGTCCGCCAAATACAAAGTGGAAACAGCCGGGGGATACCCCAAACCAACATGGGAAAACATATTGCTGCCTTGTAACAGTATAGCAGGCTTTGTACGGCCCATTGTGGGCTTCCACGTTAGTCTGGGGAGGTTACATTCCACAGTCAGTCCTTCCAAAAGTTGTGCAGAGCAATACACAAACATGCTTAGCAATCAAGACACCATGGCATTGACGTCCGAACTTGGTTGGGTTTGCAGAGAGACTGATGTTTTCTAGCGGCCGTGACCTGTCAGCGCGCAGCATAGACTGCAAAGAGGTGCCCATTGTAGTGATTTGTTTGGCGGCAGGTGCGCAAAACCTTAGCCACCGCCGGATATGCTGTGTCGCGCCCTTAGCTGTCCCTAGCTGACATGCGGTCTCACTTGTAACGAGCTTCAAGCGCGCAAATTTCTCGGCTGAGCACCTTGCAGCCGTGATTGCTGTGCAGGGCTTGCTGGTTTCTCGACGTGCGCGGGTGTACGCCCACTGATGTTGGAGAGCATTGGCAGGCACGCCCAACAACAGGCAACAGCCGAGATCTTCTATATTAGGGCTTGGTTAAAAACTCCAAGCGGCCCTTCAAGTCAGAACACTACGGATTGTATCATGAGTTAGAGTTGTAGTTGTGACGTTGCAAGTTTGGACTTTCCAGCATAATTAGCCGCATACCCAGAAGCTACAAGATCAAGCCCAGACTCCCGACACCTGACATCCCAAGTTCTTCGACTGTAGGAACGGAAGCATGTACAAGTAGCCTTACGGTCCAGTGTAACAACATTAGAACAGTCCCCGAAGGGCCTTGTTTCGGCATTTTGCCCCTACGCTGATCACGCTGCTGACGTGTCTGGAGGCAGTCTCTCAGGCGAAGTCTCCGACGGAGGCACATGCCCCAGGGCTTGCTAGGTAGATTTCAGGGTGTTGCTGTAACCCAATACCCAAATTTCAGGCATATGTTTTGGATCCGAACGAGTTCCAATGTGAGTAGTTAGGTATTGAGACCCTTACGGGAAGGTCGTGATGATTGGAGCTGACGCATCTGAATAACCTGTCCCCACAGTTATTCTTTACTAGTCGCCTGGCTTTAACATTCCTGGCATGACGTTGTTGTGCTCACATCTGCCAGTCTGCGGTCTGATGCAACATGGGGCTTGGGATCGTGTGTCTCAAACCTTTCTTGGACCGACGTGCAGCTTTTGCGGGTGCAACATAGTCAGCAGATGCGTTTTCCATCCTGCTAGCCCTTTTGGCTCAGCCGTGTGTGTTCGACTGCGAAATCCGCGTGAGAGCTGCTTAGCGTAAGGCATGTGGCTCCAATGCATAGGTGTTGGTTGGGTCATGTTGAGCCGTAGATGTCAGTTAAGTCAGTGAACATGCGTAAAGCAGCGACAAGGCATTTCTGGAATGCCATTACTTGATTCTGGGCAAACGCTTTGGAATTTGGCAGGGAGCCAGAGGGTTGCCTCGTCTTGATGGATACGAAAGATGCACCTCTTCCCAGAAGCAACGGCACCCTCTCGCAGTCTATCATTGGAATGGGGGGTATAAATCCAGAACCCTACAACCCCCCCACCACCCCTTGGCAGGAAGGATCCTGAATGCAATGACCCAAAACGCGGACCACCATTCGCCAAATACCCAGCACCCAGCCGAGGTTTATGTATTAGCCCCTGCCGAGCCGGTCTACACCGGGAGACCAGCCAAGGTGTGCTGGGCAAGCAATGGAAGCATCGCTTAGGCTACCCAAAGCAAAAAGTTTCTGATGCGGATTGCTGCTCTGATCCTACTTTTCGTTTTTCAAGCCCCGTGATACAGACAATAAACAATAAAGCGCAACGTCTTAACCTCCCCACCCCCACAATACCATCTGTGGAATGCAGTTCCGCTGGCAGAAATCATTTCTTTTGACCCTGCAGCCCGCTCAATTTGGAGAGGGCATTTGGGGGGGTGGGTTGCCTTTTGAGGAGAATTGAAGGCACTAATGGTTGATGGCCACGGCCAACAGTATGAGGGGACAAGGGTACGGAATTATGGATGCTGCTTGCATACTGACTGGACCTCCCACATCCAGGTAATTCAAGTAAAAGTCGGTCATTGTCATTCTTTCTACATGCGGTTCTCCTACGGCTACCACCTTTCCTGTTTATAACCTTTGCATCGCTACTGCTATTTACCCAGACCCTCCTATGTAGTTCCTTTTTGGGTAGTATATTATGATCCCTTACCCCCAAAACCATAACAAACCCAAAAAGGAACTACATTGGAGCCCTTGGGTAAGGCCATGAGCCTAAACCCTAAAACCTAAACCCTAAACCCTACATTGGAGCCCTTGGGTAAGGCCATGAGGCTATGTGGCCTGCTGACCTTGGCCGCGGTGGCCTTTGCAATGCGGCCCAAGGCGAAAATGAAATGCAGCGGTTTAGGGTTTAGGGTTTAGGGTTTAGGTTGGTCTAGCTAACTGTTGCCACCAAAAAACTGGGTTTCTCGTTGAACAACAATTTACATGTTTATGTATACCTGGGCCCAACATATATTAACAGTGATCATTTTGAATAGTCTGTCAACAAGAACCCCAGAAACGTGGACCTCAATCTACTGGGTTGCTGTTAAGGAACTTAAATTAAGTTACCATAGTGGGCATATATAGTAAATAATATGGTTCTCCCAATATAGTAACTTAAATTAAGTTCCTTAACAGCAACCCAGTCTAGTTAGCATCATAACGACCAACTCTGCTGCTGTGGTCCCAACAGTGATGACAATAGACCGGGTATTCATGGTGATAGCACTCAGGCAGATCCTTATGGTGACTAAGTTATAGTCCCCCTTACGTAGATAGAATATGGCTTTGGGTATATTATATTAAGATCCCCACATACCCCATATTCTTTCTACTTAAGGGGAACCCTAAACCCTAAACAGTAGTTTCCATTTTCTTTTCCATTCTCCCAATGTAATCCTTTTATAACCCTTATGTTCTATCTACTTAAGGGGACTATATCACCAGCTCCAGAGGTGGACCTCCTTTTGGGTGGAGGGCGGGCATGTTCAGGTGTAGTGATAAGTCATAAGAAGCCCCGCACGGCACCATCCAGGGACAGGTTCACTTCTATCATCCCTGCCTCGAACCGTGCTGATGAGCGCGGTCGTATGCTGAGCCGTTCAGAGACTCACGCCAACAGTCAAAAAGCTTGTCCATGATACCACACGATCCTTGATGTGTTACGATTTGTGAAAGTAGGGTCTAGAGTTGATTTTGCAGACATGCACATACCTGAAGGCCTACCAGGACCCTGCATGGGCCTGCCCTAGATTCCCCGAAAGATGGTGAGCCTCCTACAATCTCCATGCTGCGCCAGAACACCTGAGGCTTTGTACACCCCCGGGCCCAGAGCAAACCGTGAGACCCAAGACCCTACACGCAAACCCGAAACCCAGAACGGTGAACCTCCAAAACACAAACCGAAGCTCTAGGCCCTACCCGGACCCTCCTGGGTAGTTCTCTTTTTGGGTGGTATATTATAATCCCTTACCCAAAACCCATAACAAACCAAAAAGGAACTACATTGAAGCCCTTGGGTAGACTACATCCTGATTCCTGCGGCCTTGCGTTTGAAGGAGCCCAGCCTCATAGAGCTCAGTCGACAGGAGCGCTTTGATCGGCTCTACAGGCTCTCCTCGCATGCGGAGAGTCAAGAAAGGAAGCGGTGAATCTCCTAAACAAGGTGTCCGCTACGTGGTTAAATGTTTAGGGTTTCGCGTTGGGAAGTATATAGTATATAGGGCTAAATTAAGTTGTCCATGGGATAATAGGGGTATGTAAGGGAAGTAGAGATGAACATAGCTGGTGCGACATGGGGGGCCCCGAATCCATGGGATTTCGGAAGTCACATCCCATGGCTATGCTGAGGGTCCATGTTCCCAAAAGACAGGGTCTGCGCAATCACGGCTGAGATTGTAGTATTGGGGTGGTACTTGGACCAATTAGGTCACACGCGCAACATTCAATCAGACGTCGGAAAGCTCATGCAGGCAGTACTGGAAGCACTACGAGAAGGGTGCTCCCAGGACAATGCCCGGGTCTGCCTCTAAGATTCTGGCCTGAGGGCGGCTGAGCTTTTTTGCTTAAGCACCAATGGTTAGGGTTTGGGGTTCAGGGAATGCGGAAATGGAAAGAAAATGGAAGCTACCACTGCGATGGCAATATGACCATATCCATATTGCTCTTCTTACTGGTCCTCACTAGGGAACAAGGGAACATACCCCCGGCCCCCCATAAAATCTCTATATAATGTATTCCTCGATTCCCTGCTAACCCTAAGCCCTAGACCCAAAAAACCCTATACATATTCCAATATTCCGTACTAAGTACCAGCAGGTATTAGGGTTTGAGGTTTACAGGATCCACAACCTTAAGACTGCCAAGCTGTGCTTTCAGCTGTGTCACCATGAGGATTTATGACAACTAGGGGCATCTGTCTGGGGAATTGTTTAGCGGCAGAATTCGGGAATTATCAGGAGATTTAGCGAGATGCAGGGTTTAGGATTTTATATCTAAACATCCTGTATATCAAGGGTCTATGTCTGGACCCCCGCCTTATGGAACATCCCTATGGGGCTATGAAAGCCAGTTGTACTCCTTAAAGTATAGTATGCAGCATCACGCCATCTTGCTCCGTATATCAGACATGTCAGGCTGTATTCCATTGTTCTTTACTATACTCTTCTTGTATTCTTGCATGTCATTCCACATGATGCTGAATCATTCTACTATGCTAAACTAACTAATTACAGTGCTCCATAATGCATATGGTTTGGGTACTGCCCCCACCCAGTAACAGTCTAAATTAGGGGTCTTATTAAGGGCCTATATATAACCATATTATAGTTCTTATCCAACTGTTACTGAGGGGAGGCAGTACCTAACCTAAACCCCCTAAACCCTGAATCCTGAACCCTGAACCCTAAACCCTTCCTCTGACTTGTCTCCACCTTGCAACACTCCAAGCTCCTTGAGGCTGGAGCCTCACGAGATTCCTCTGCAGTTTGAGTTTGAGCTTCCCCGGAAGATGGTTGGTCGTGGCCTCGGCCGGGGAGGGTGGGGGTAGGAGTTAGGGGTTTAGGGCCTACTTGGAGGCCCATGGGACTTAGTAACTACTTATAACTGGGATTAGCCCTACTTATAATGGGGGTAACCCCTAAAAAGCCCATTTAGGGGGGGTTATAAGTAGGGTTATAAGCCCAGTATAGCCCAGTTATAAGTGGTTACTAAGGCCCATGGGCCTCCAAGTAGGGTTTGATAACACCAGAGTTGAGGATAGCGGTTGTTTGTTGAGTAGCAGTACATGGCGTTCTGAACCACGACAGGAAACACCCCGAGGAATGGGCGAGGACAAACACATCAGAGCAGGCAGTTAAGGGCTGTGACTTGGAGGACCGCTAGACATGTAAATTTGTTAAGGAGCTCCGAGCGCTTGTTTTCAAGGAAATCTGGTCCCTTCACATTCTACCCGCTCTGTCGTAATGCGTGTGAACCATTCATAGTTTTGTGATGGTTTGACAGGGATCACAAGAACACACTCGATGCCCGACCGAGTCCTGAACATGACACCAGCGCTGCTGCTTCAACGTGGTGGCATCTCGCTATCCAGCGCGCATCAGGCTGCGTTTGGGCTTCATAGCTATGGGCCCTTGTTGGTTGTAGATTCTATTGCGGCACCTAGTATTTAGGGGTACCCAAAAAAGACATTAATTTGAGAACTGACCACATGGTCCTAATGCAGAAGTTGGCTGTCAACAGGACACCCGCGCTTGAGAACCTAAACTAATTTGCAAGAGGTCTCTGTCTCGGGGTGAGACATGACATTTGAAGCTTGGGGCGACTGGGCGCAGGAGAGGTTCATAATTACAGGCAAGCTCCTCATACCTATGGTAGTTTCCCTAAGTAGGGGACCCCAGCCCAAAATGCTACAAGCCTCCTTTTTCGGGACCTGCAAAGGGTACCCCTAATTTTGGGAGACCCTAAACCCTAATGCCTACACCCTATATATCCCCTATAACCCCTTTAAAGGTATCCCTAATTTGGGAAACCCTCCATTTTGACCTGCTTAGGTTTCAATGCACCTACACCTATAATATGGTAACCCCAAACCCTGCACCCTGTACCCTATATGCCCCATGTTATGGTGACTTAATTCAAGTTCCTTAACAGGGACCTTTTTTGGTTTCCTTGCGCGCAGGCCAGGGAACCGGCCTTCGTAAGCGGATCGCCCTGGTGGTACATAGAGGTGGATGGTGAGCGCCCCAGACAGTACTTGGGCCCTTGAGAATCTGTTTGGGTTTAGGGTTTAGGGAATCTGTTTGTTGCAAAAAGGTCCATAGGCGATCGGGTGGAGAATCAGGTTTGGGGTTTGGACTGGGCGTTCGCCAGCCTGCTAGAACAAGATGATATCTGAGGGCCCCAAAGATAGGGGGTCGGCTCTGGTAAAATGAAATCTACGGGCTCATGCCTCACTTCGTACTTTCATCAATTGTTCAGTTGGGAGTTTGTTTACGGGTCCCCTTGGCTGCTTGCAGGATTTTTTGTCGTGTATGTTGCTCGCCCCCGTGGACAGGCGAACCCAGGAAATTTTGTTTTAGTAGATGATCAGTTTGGCAGTTAGGTAGGCTAGCAGGCAGGATTTATTTCGGTGCCTTGGGCAGCGTCCCACTGTGGCAGTGAAAAGCAGATGACAAAGACCACAAAGCCTGAGCCGCCCGCTGTTAGTGGGAGGTGAGGGCTGGCAACGACAAATAGGACAAAGACGACAAAGCCTGAGCC